CTGCTACTGCTACTGCTACTGCTACTGCTGCTGCTGCTGCTGCTGCTGCTGCTGCTGCTGCTACTACTACTACTACTACTACTACTACTACTACTACTACTACTACTACTACGACTCCGACTCCGACTCCGACTCCGACTCCGACTCCGACTCCGACTCCGACTGGCGCTCATCTCCTTATTCCTTATTGGTATATCCTTCCATTCTGCCCGCTCCCCTGCCGATTGCGGACCAATCCAGGGGGTCCATCCTAGCTTGGACAAAAATAACAATGCATGATCGACGCTTGTCCTATCAACATGGACGTCTTGTGGCCCACGTCGCGAAATGCGTGGCAGGAATGGACGCGGCGCACATCCCGCGCGAAAAGGCGAAATGTCGCTCTCGCTTCGGCGCCGCGCACGTTTGTGCTGAAAGTGGCGCTCCCGCCAAGGCGGGGCGCACATTTTTCGCTCGCCAATGCGTCGGGCGCCTGGTGCCTCCTGGGGCTTCTTGGGGATTCCTTGGGCCTCCTGAGGCCTCCTGGAGCTTCCTGGGGCCTCCTGGGGCCTCCTGGAGTTTCCTGGGGCATACTGAAGCTTCCTGAAGGCGGGGACCCTTTGGCTCGAGATCAAGTACCTTACCCGGTGCCACCGCGGACTCCGTTTGCACGTGCCCGTCGGCTGTTACCCCCAGCTGGCCCTGCGGTTCCTTGAGCAGACGGCTTCAAACCGTAAGCAGGTGAACCACGCCAGCGCAGCCCCCGCAGGGTCGGGTGAACCATGGCTGCAGGGAACTGCCGGCGTGGCAGCGAGTCGCTAGGCGACTAGCCCCCATCGTGCCCGTCGTCGCTTCCTCGTCTTGGGTGGCATGACACATGACCGCATAGGACGTTAAATAAGTGGTCCCAAATAAGTGGTCCTCCTCCTGGTCCTCCATTTCCTCCATGTCCTCCTGCTCATACTTCTCCTCCTGCCCCTCCTGCTCCTCCTCCTCCTGCTCCCCCTCTTCCTCCTCCTCCTCTTCCTCCTCCTCCTCCTCCTCCTCCTCCTCCTCCTCCTCCCCCTCCTCCTCCTCCCCCTCCCCCTCCTCCTCCTCCTCCTCCTCATCATCATCCTCATCCGCATCCGCATCCGCATCCTCATCACCTTCCTCCTCCTCCTCCTCATCCTCCTCCTCCTCCTCCTCCTCATCATCATCATCATCATCATCATCATAACCATCCTGTTCCTCCTCCTCCTCTTCCATTAATTCCCCATAAGTAACTTCACCCTGTCGCACCCCGAGGGCAGTGTTTAGGGCGGGCTGGGCGTTTCGCCTGAGATTTCCTCACCATGTATGACCCTGAAGCTTAAACATTGGCAACAGCTCCACAAATGGAGGGCGGGCCATTTTCAAAATGTGGCTCTCGTTTCAGTGCCGCGTACACTCGTTTTAAACAATTACCAGAGCTGCACGGATTGAGCGCGGCCCGTCTTCAAAATGTGGTTCTCGCCTTAGCGCCGCGCGCATTCGTTTTACAAAGTTGCCAAAACAAAAAACGCGGATTGAAGGCGGCCCCTTTTCAAAATGTGGCCATCGCCTTTGCGCCGCGTGCTCTTGTTTTTCCCACACACACACACAAAAAAGCAAGGGTTTCACGGATTGAGGGCGGCTCCTTTTCAACATGTGGTTATCGTTTTAACGCCGCGCACATTCGTTTTTCCATTTAGCCAGAGCTTTAAGGATTCCCATGATCAGCGTACCAGGAATGGTGTGTTGGATTGATTCCGGATTATGAGGGTGCAACAGTTACTCTGGTTCGCGGTGTTGAAGTCCCAGGAATGGCGTTCTGGCACGATTCCGGATCGTCAAGACGCAACTGTCAGGCTGATCCGCGGCGTTGGAGTCCCGAGAATATTTGTTGGCATGCTTCAGGGACATCAAACGGCTGTCTTCCAACGAGGTGATGATTACGGGGGGGATATCATGGCGTGGGCCATGCTATTTTCCCAGATTTCATGGCGCCTCATATTATTTCATGACGTCCGTTCCCCCCCCTTCCTTAGGCCGCGCACATGCCGCCGGCCATGATTTGCGCCCCCCCTCTTGGACACCTCTTGGCCGGCCCCGACACCGTCAATTAGCATTTTCCATGCGCGCGCTTGCCTGTAATTGCCTGGGGGGGTCGTTCTTTTTCGCTCTGCCTGAAGGGGCACAGGCTCGCTTCGCCCGGGTCTCGCTTCGCTGGTGCTCGTTCCGTCAGGGTTCGGGTCGCCAGGGCTCGGTTCGCCAGTGCTCGGTGCGCTTGCTCGCTTCAACCGCGCCTCGCTTCACCTGCCTCGCTTCGCCGCGCGGTGGCCCAGCGGAGCCTCCCCGCGGAACGCCCCGGCCAGCAGGTCGTCGTCCTCCTCCTCCTCCTCCTCCCCCTCCTCCTCCTCCTCCTCCGCCTCCTCCTCCTTTTCCTCTCCTCCTCCTCCTCCTCCTCCTCCTCCCCTCCTCCTCCTCTCCTCCTCCGCCTCCGCTCCTCCTCCTCCTCCTCCGCCTCCTCCGCCTCCTCCCTCCTCCTCCTCCTCCTCCTCTCCTCCTCCTCCTCCTCCTCCTCCTCCTCCCCTTCCTCCCCCTCTTCCTCCTCCTCCTCCTCCTCCTCCTCCTCCTCCTCCTCCTCCTCCTCCTCATCATCATCATCATCATCATCCTCCTCCTCCTCCTCCTTCGCCTGCCTCGTGTTGTCAGGGCGGGACGGGCGGGCGCGGCCAGGACGGGAGGGGTCAGGCGGGCGGGCCTGACGGACGGGCCGGGCTGGCAGGGCTTTGCCGACCGGGCCAGGCGTGCGTGACATTCTCGGGGTTGCGGAACGGCGAGCCAGACGAAGCGAGGCTTGGGCAAAGTCGGGCCTGTCCTTCCACAGGAGCAAGATTCAAACCTAGTCCCCAAAAAAACAATTTCGTATGTGGACGATTGATTGACTATGTTTGGCTATTTGGGAGTCTTGTTCTGCAATGCTTTATCTTTCGTCCACAATCCCCCTGTAGGAGGATATGCCCGACCTAAGACTTGGGCACAACGAGGGCTGGGCGGAACAATGCCCGGGCAAGCGGAGCCTGGGCGAACCGAGCCGGGCGAGCCGATACCCAGGCGAACCAAGTTTGCTTCGCCCTCCCCGGGCGCTGCCAGCTGCGCAGTTGTTGCAAGGGCGTGTTTCTTTATTGCAAGTCCAGGGCTTTGCCCTCTCTTGGCCTTGACGTGAGGCCCCTCCTTCTGCCTTCCCCCCTCGGTCAATTTAAAGCTGTGCGCGGCCCGCTTAGCTTCGACCGGAAGAAGTGCGCTCTCGACCCGCGCTGTTTTTTTTATTGCTTGGGGCATGATCGGAATTATAGCCCCCGACCCCCCCTCCCCCCCCCTATAACGTAACGCCCCTCCCCCCCCCAGTGCGCTCCACGCACTGCCGCCGTGCGCATCGGGCACACGGCGAGGGGGAGGCGTTACATTATCCCCCCCCTTGCCCCCCCCCTACAATGCCCATTATCGCCGAATATAAAGAAACGTGAACCCGGGCGATGCCAGCTGCGCAGTTGTTGCACGTCTCGCAAGTTCCTGGGATGTCCAGCGGACTGCGGTCCTACGCGGGTCTAGACGAGACCCCGTCCTCCATGGGCGGTGTCAACGGTGAAATTGTCGCCACTTTCGCGAGGGCCTGGGAAGTCCATCGGAGTGCAGTCTACGCAACGGTACCCCTGCCTCTCTGGGCGCTGCCGACTGCGCAATTGTCGCCACTTGCCTGACCAGCGGAGTGCGGTCCCTCACGCGGGCCCATCCCATGTTCTTGCCAGGCGTCTGGGGTGGGGTGGTGCGTCCCTGGGTAACTATTCCGCTGGCCCCCCCAGGTCCACCCTGATGCCTCGGGCCATGATACTAGGGATCCTAGATGGATGGGGTCGGAGTAGATGGGGTCGGAGGATCGCTCCGCATCGCCGATGCATAGCCAATGCGGCTCGATGTGGAGCCCGATTTTGCTTAACGCCGACGTCGCCGATGCATCGCCCCCGTCGAAGATGCATCGCTGGTGCATCGCCGATGCATCGCCGATGCATCACTGATTCATCGCCGATGTATCGGCGATGCGGCGCGATCATCCGACCCCATCTACTCCGACCCCATCTAGGAGGTCTCTACATGCCTCGGGCCATGATGCGACACAATCAAGCCGCATCAAAAGAAATTTAAAACTTTCCAAGGGTGCCCTTGCATCCTGATCTCTCGGCCCAGCCCAGCCGCTAACCATGGGCCATGGGCTTCGTCTGGGCGCCCAAGGGCCCTGCACCCTTTCCGCGCATGCTTACGACCTGGTCGCCTTGTGGCCCCCATCCCCCTTGCCCCTCTTCTCCGTTGAGATCCGACGCTGCCAAAAAAGTACCTTGGCAAGACATCACGGCCCGAGCCCCAGACCCCACCTTGCTGCTGCACTTTTGACAAACCGGATCGATACGTGAGGGCCCCGGCAGGGCGCCCGGCGCCGGGCAACAAAGCCGGGCGGGAAAAAATTGCAGCGCATGGATCTCGGCCGGGGAGGAGGAGGAGGAGGAGGAGGAGGAGGAGGAGGAGGAGGAGGAGGAGGAGGAGGAGGAGGATGGAGGAGGAGGAGGAGGAGGAGGAGGAGGAGGAGAGGAGGAGGAGTAGGAGAGGAGGGAGGAGGAGGAGAGGGAGAGGAGGAGGAGGGAGGAGGAGGATGAGGAGGAGGAGAGAGGAGGAGGAGGAGGAGGAGGAGGAGGAGGAGGAGGAGGAGGAGGAGGAGGAGGAGGAGAGAGAGGAGAGGAGAGGAGGAGAGAGGAAGGAGAGGAGAGAGGATGAGGAGGAGGAGGAGGAGGGAGGGAGGGAGGGAGGAGGAGGAGGAGGAGGAGGAGGAGGAGGAGGAGGAGGAGGAGGAGGAGGAGGAGGAGGAGGAGGAGTAGGAGAGGAGGAGGAGGAGGAGGCGGCGAGGAGGAGGAGGAGGAGGCGGCGAGGAGGGGCCAGCGCCCCACCTCCCCAGCCGACCCCGCGCAGCGCCCGCAGCCGTTTTGACCCCGGGCGGGCGACGTGCGCCCCGCGCCGCGGAGCCGCGGAGCCGCGCCCGATCCCCGCAGAGTGCGCCGAAAGCCCCTGGCGGCACATGCTATGGGCCGCGAGTCGCGGGGCGGACGCTTTGACGCCGTGTCCTCGGGCAGCGATGGCGACGAAAGCGGCGAGGATCGCGAACGGTGATTTGGGGCGCCCTTCCTTTGGGGGCGTGAACATATATATATATATATATATACATACACATATACATATATACCTATCTTAAGTATCTCACACCAGGGATGGCCAACCCCCCCCCCAATAGAATCTGGCGTCCCACAGGCCCCGGAGGCTCTTCTCTGGCCCGTCCCTGAGGGCCCCCAAAAGGCTCCAGGAGAAAACCGGACAGTCCACGACGGCCCCGCAACACCCAAATATCCTTCCCAGACGCCCAAGATGCCCCCAAGACAGCCCAAGAGGCCTCCAAGACGCCTCAAGAGGCGGCCGAGAAGCTTCCTAAGAGGGCCCCAAGAGGCCCAAATCATTGATTTGCCATAAGAAAACGTATATTTTCAGCATCTACGACTTTTCCCCCTTTACGGCGTCGAAGACGGTCCAAGATGCCCCCAAGACCGCCCCAAGACGGGCCAAGAGGCTCCAAAGAGGTTTCCCCAAACGGCCCAAGAGGGCGCCAAGACGGCCCAAGAGGCGCCCAAAACGGCCCAAGAGGGCCCCAAGACAGCCCCAACAGGCCCCAAGAGGGCCCCAGGAGGGCCCCAGGGAGCCACCAAGAGAGCCCCAAGACAAGTCGAGGCCTCCAAGACGCCCCGAGACGGCCCAAAAGCGCCCCAAGACGGCCCAAAAGGGTCCCACATAGGCCAAAGAACCCCAAAAGATTCCGAAGACCACTAAAGGAGCCCAGAGACGCCACAGAAAAGAGCGATCGGTAGCCCCCAAATCAACCCGAAAAGGACCACTAAGAAAGCCCATAGACGCCAAAGATTATCCCGGCAAAGCAACCTAACATCGATGTGTAGGAGCATATCTGGAAGCATTCCCCTTAAGATTCGGATGAGAATCCAGTTGTAGAATTCTGCTGTTCTCGCAGTCGTAGTCGCATTCGCGATGACAGTCGCAGCGGCAACGGCAGTCGCAGTCACAGCCTCAGCCTCAGCCTGCCTCAGCCTCAGCCTCAGCCTGCCTCAGCCTCAGCCTGCCTCAGCCTCAGCCTCAGCCTGCTTCAGCCTCAGCCTCAGTCTGCCTTCAGCCTCGGCCTCAGCCTCAGCCTGCCTCAGCCTCAGCCTGCATCAGCCTCAGCCTCAGCCTCAGCCTGCCTCAGCATCAGCCTGCCTCAGCCTCAGCCTCAGCCTGCCTCTGCCTCAGCCTCAGCCTGCTTCAGCCTCAGCCTCAGTCTGCCGTCGGCCTCGGCCTCAGCCTCAGCCTGCCTCAGCCTCAGCCTGCATCAGCCTCAGCCTCAGCCTCAGCCTGCCTCAGCATCAGCCTGCCTCAGCCTCAGCCTCAGCCTGCCTCTGCCTCAGCCTCAGCCTGCTTCAGCCTCAGCCTCAGTCTGCCGTCGGCCTCGGCCTCGGCCTCAGCCTGCCTCAGCCTCAGCCTGCATCAGCCTCAGCCTCAGCCTCAGCCTGCCTCAGCATCAGCCTGCCTCAGCCTCAGCCTCAGCCTGCCTCAGCCTCAGCCTCAGCCTGCAGCCTCAGCCTGCCTCAGCATCAGCCTGCCTCAGCCTCAGCCTCAGCCTGCCTCAGCCTCAGCCTCAGCCTCAGCCTGCTTCAGCCTCAGCCTCAGTCTGCCTTCAGCCTCGGCCTCAGCCTCAGCCTGCCTCAGCCTCAGCCTGCATCAGCCTCAGCCTCAGCCTCAGCCTGCCTCAGCATCAGCCTGCCTCAGCCTCAGCCTGCCTCAGCCTCAGCCTCAGCTTCAGCCTCAGCCTCAGTCTGCAGCCTCAGCCTCGGCCTCAGCCTCAGCCTCAGCCTCAGCCTCAGCCTGCAGCCTCAGCCTCAGCCTGCCTCAGCCTCAGCCTCAGCCTCAGCCTCAGCCTGCCTCAGCCTCAGCCTCAGTCTGCCTTCAGCCTCGGCCTCAGCCTCAGCCTGCCTCAGCCTCAGCCTGCATCAGCCTCAGCCTCAGCCTCAGCCTGCCTCAGCATCAGCCTGCCTCAGCCTCAGCCTCAGCCTGCCTCAGCCTCAGCCTCAGCCTGCTTCAGCCTCAGCCTCAGCTGCCTTCAGCCTCGGCCTCCGCCTCAGCCTGCCTCAGCCTCAGCCTGCATCACCCTCAGCCTCAGCCTCAGCCTCAGCCTCAGCCTGCCTCAGCATCAGCCTGCCTCAGCCTCAGCCTCAGCCTGCCTCAGCCTCAGCCTCAGCCTCAGCCTCAGCCTGCTTCAGCCAAAGCCTCAGTCTGCCTTGAGCCTTGGCCTCAGCCTCAGCCTCAGCCTGCCTCAGCCTCAGCCTGCATCAGCCTCAGCCTCAGCCTCAGCCTGCCTCAGCATCAGCCTGCCTCAGCCTCAGCCTGCCTCTGCCTCAGCCTCAGCCTGCTTCAGCCTCAGCCTCAGTCTGCCTTCAGCCTCGGCCTCAGCCTCAGCCTGCCTCAGCCTCAGCCTGCCTCAGCCTCAGCCTCAGCCTGCCTCAGCATTCAAAATGTGGCCCGGGAATGGAATTCTGGGAACTCGAAGAACACGAAGTGGCCTACAGTTGGCTCCGGGCATTCAAAATCATGCCCAGGAATGGAGTTCTGGGAACTCGAAGATCACGAAGTGGCCTACAGTTGGCTCGGGGCATTCAAAATGTGGCCCGGGAATGGAGTTCTGGGAACTCGAAGAGCACGAAGTGGCCTACAGTTGGCTCCGGGCATCCAAAATGTGGCCCGGGAATGGAGTTCTGGGAAGTCGAAGAGCACGAAGTGGCCTACAGTTGGCTCCGGGCATCCAAAATGTGGCCCGGGAATGGAGTTCTGGGAAGTCGAAGAGCACGAAGTGGCCTACAGTTGGCTCCGGGCATTCAGAATGTGGCCCGGGAATGGAGTTCTGGGAAGTCGAAGAGCACGAAGTGTGTGACTGTATGCGAAAAACGATCCCCGCCGGCAAACCCCAACTCGTCCCCAACGGCTGCCCAGACCCCCCATGTGGAGTAATGTGCTGCTCTCTTTTTAGCCTATTAGAAACCTACCAGTCTTCGATGTTAGGTAATTATCCCGGCAAAGCAACCTAACAGCGATGTGTAGGAGCATATCTGGAAGCATTGCCCTTAAGATTCAGATAAGAATCCTGTTGTAGAATTCTGCTGTTCTCGCAGTCGTGGTCGCATTCGCGATGGCAGTCGCAGTGGCAACAGCAGTCGCAGTCACAGCCTCAGCCTCAGCCTGCCTCAGCCTCAGCCTCAGCCTGCCTCAGCCTCAGCCTGCCTCAGCCTCGCCCTCAGCCTGCTTCAGCCTCAACATCAGTCTGCCTTCAGCCTCGGCCTCAGCCTGCCTCAGCCTCACCCTCAGCCTCAGCCTCAGCCTGCCTCAGCCTCGCCCTCAGCCTCAGCCTCAGTCTGCCTCAGCCTCGGCCTCAGCCTGCCTCAGCCTGCCTGCATCAGCCTCAGCCTGCCTCAGCCTCGCCCTCAGCCTGCTTCAGCCTCAACATCAGTCTGCCTTCAGCCTCGGCCTCAGCCTGCCTCAGCCTCACCCTGCATCAGCCTCAGCCTCAGCCTCAGCCTCAGCCTCAGCCTCAGTCTGCCGTCGGCCTCGGCCTCAGCCTCAGCCTGCCTCACCCTCAGCCTGCATCAGCCTCAGCCTCAGCCACAGCCTGCCTCAGCATCAGCCTGCCTCAGCCTCAGCCTCAGCCTCAGCCTCCTCAGCCTCAGCCTCAGCCTGCTTCAGCCTCAGCCTGAGTTTGCCTGCAGCCTCGGCCTCAGCCTCAGCCTGCCTCAGCCTCAGCCTGCATCAGCCTCAGCCTCAGCCTCAGCCTGCCTCAGCCTCAGCCTGCCTCAGCCTCAGCCTCAGCCTGCCTCAGCCTCAGCCTCAGCCTGCTTCAGCCTCAGCCTCAGTCTGCCTTCAGCCTCGGCCTCAGCCTCAGCCTGCCTCAGCCTCAGCCTGCATCAGCCTCAGCCTCAGCCTCAGCCTGCCTCAGCAGCCTCAGCCTCAGCCTGCCTCAGCCTCAGCCTGCCTCAGCCTCAGCCTCAGCCTCAGCCTCAGCCTGCCTTCAGCCTCAGCCTCAGTCTGCCTTCAGCCTCGGCCTCAGCCTCCGCCTCAGCCTCAGCCTGCATCAGCCTCAGCCTCAGCCTCAGCCTGCCTCAGCATCAGCCTGCCTCAGCCTCAGCCTCAGCCTGCCTCAGCCTCAGCCTCAGCCTGCTTCAGCCTCAGCCTCAGTCTGCCTTCAGCCTCGGCCTCAGCCTCAGCCTGCCTCAGCCTCAGCCTGCATCAGCCTCAGCCTCAGCCTCAGCCTGCCTCAGCATCAGCCTGCCTCAGCCTCAGCCTCAGCCTGCCTCAGCCTCAGCCTCAGCCTGCTTCAGCCTCAGCCTCAGTCTGCCTTCAGCCTCGGCCTCAGCCTCAGCCTGCCTCAGCCTCAGCCTGCATCAGCCTCAGCCTCAGCCTCAGCCTGCCTCAGCATCAGCCTGCCTCAGCCTCAGCCTCAGCCTGCCTCAGCCTCAGCCTCAGCCTGCTTCAGCCTCAGCCTCAGTCTGCCTTCAGCCTCGGCCTCAGCCTCAGCCTGCCTCAGCCTCAGCCTGCCTCAGCCTCAGCCTCAGCCTGCCTCAGCCTCAGCCTCAGCCTGCCTTCAGCCTCAGCCTCAGCCTCAGCCTCAGCCTTCAGCCTCGTCCTCAGCCTCAGCCTCAGCCTGCCTCAGCCTCAGCATCAGCCTGCCTCAGCATTCAAAGTGTGGCCCGGGAATGGAGTTCTGGGAACTCGAAGAACACGAAGTGGCCTACAGTTGGCTCCGGGCATTCAAAATCATGCCCAGGAATGGAGTTCTGGGAACTCGAAGACCACGAAGTGGCCTACAGTTGGCTCCGGGCATTCAAAATGTGGCCCGGGAATGGAGTTCTGGGAACTCGAAGAGCACGAAGTGGCCTACAGTTGGCTCCGGGCATCCAAAATGTGGCCCGGGAATGGAGTTCTGGGAAGTCGAAGAGCACGAAGTGGCCTACAGTTGGCTCCGGGCATTCAGAATGTGGCCCGGGAATGGAGTTCTGGGAGGTCGAAGAGCA